AATATACATTGTAACTGAATGTTGAAGGCCAAAGCAAGACTTTTACTTTTCACGTAGATATTTTTGATATTTAAATTCTGTTTCATAAGAATATAAAGACTAACAGGAGTACAATTAGTGTCCATTGAATTTCAAAGATTGTTTGAAAAACTGGTCTGCAAAGACAACAAAGATATTGTCAATAAAGAACTCCAGCACCATTTAAATTCTAACTTCAGGGTAATTGTGCGCAGAATCCGTATGATTTTCAACAAACAATATAAATGACCAATGTTATCATAAGATATGAAAATTTCCGAGTTCTATTTTTATTGAAGAAGCAGTTTTCTGCCATGTAAAAATCAAAACCACAGACCTCACAGGAAATATGAAAATCAAATCTATTAAAGATGCAGTTTGGTAATCATATGCATGTAAAAAAGAACCAAGATGAATTATAAACACACTTCGGCTTCTGTGCGAATTACAGTGTAACATGGAGCCCAGAGATAATACAGATAATACAGTTACTCTTTTATTTACATTTTTGATTATTAATTAAAAATATATCAATAATCTTTAAATAACCTATACACGTTAATCTATATTCCAAACAAGCCCCGCTCACTACACATCATGATACATATACATGTATACACTTATTCTTATCAGCAATTAATCCCGCAAGGCCTGATTCTGAAACGCAAAACAAATAGCTTGCCACTATCAGAAAATAAACCAATTTTTATTCCCCCGTATCGAAGATTCGGGGGTATATATTTTATGCCCTGTCCGTCCGTCTGTCTGTTTGTCCTCAAAAACTTTAACATTGCCCATAACTTTTGATTGGTTGAAGGTATGGCTTTCATATTCACATGTGTATTCCTTGTGACAAGAACTTTCTTGGAGTACCATCATATTTGACCTTTTGACCTCGACCTTTGAGTTTGACCCAGTTTTGCGAAATTTAACCTTGGCCATAACTTTTGAACAATTGGTGCTAGGGCTTTCATACTTCACATTTGTAATCCTTGTGACAAGACCTTCCTTTGGATATCAACAACTTTGACCCTTTGACCTCCACCTTGGAGTTTACTACTTTTGGAAATTTTTAACCTTGGCCATAACTTTTAAGCAGTTGGTGCTAGGGCTTTCATAACAATTATAATCCATTGACATTGACCTTGGAGTTTGACCTACTTTTGAGAAACTTTAACCTTGGCCATAACTTCTGAATGATTGGTGCTACGGTTTTCATATACCACATATGTATTTCTTGTGAGAAGGCCTTTCCTGGGGCACCATTAAGTTTCACCATTTGAGATTGACCTTGATGTTTGACTTACTTTTGAAAAACTTTAACCTTTTCCATATCTATTCAATAGTTGCTGCTAGGGTTTTCATACTTCACAGGTATATTCCTCAAGACAAGACATTACTTTGGATGCCAACATATTTGATTTACATTTGAGAAAGTTGCCATACGGGGGCATCAGTGTTTCACAAACACATCTTGTTTTACTTGTATATCCACGGAAATTTAAATTTCTACTATCAATAAAAAAAAATGTTCACACATGTACTTTTTGTAGTACGAAATTGTCTTAAATTTTCTTAAAGAAATATATAATTAAAGGATGAATCGTTTAAACGTCCAAATTTGGCCCCCCGATAATTTACAAAAAATTAAATTAAAGATTTTCTAAATATTTTTGCCTCAATCTTTCCATCAAACATAGTAGTTTATTAATTTCAATTTCAATTTTTACTTCCTTGCACTGTAATTAGGTATTTGTGTGATTAATATAGCAGGGGTATGTTGTTTACATCGATTTCTCATAGACTTTAGGCCACACCCCCATTTTGCAAGCCCATTTTTTATATGAGCGCATGGATGTTTCAAGTTGTCGTAAATACGGTCAATGTAAAGAGTTATACTAGTCATTTACATTCATGAAAGAAATTGAAACAGTCTTGCGCTCATTTGTTATTTTCCAATAAGGTGCAAAATCACGGGTACTTATCTCTATAGTAAAGGCACCTTGTTTACAAATTTCAACTCGTCTTTGACCTCATGAATAACAAAGCACTGAACACGTGATTCAAATCTATTCACTTCCACGCTTTGAGCACACCTACGCGACATATTGTGTCTAGTGTCTGCGAGCTATCGATGGTCAAATCATATTTCAAATGGGTAATTAAAATTCTGGGAGAAAACTTTATTATGATTAAGATGTGTTAATATTTTCAGTCGATTTTGTTTGATTCTTTTTTTTTTTGGGTGTATATCAATTTATATTGAAGTCCTGTAGCATATAGCTTGCACTTACTGCTTGTGTCTCATAAATACAGAATTTTAAAATTTAAATTACTGTGGGTATATATTATACATTTGCCCTTGTTCCTAAATATACATCGGTGCTCCGTTCATTGCCTTGGAAGATATGAAAGATTTTTTTCAGTTAAAACTGTCATTAATTTTATAGTCCGTTATTTGAAAAAACACCAATTCATCATATCTTTAGAAAAATTGTTTGTTTGTTCAAAGTGCACAAATGCATACTTCCAATAGAAGAAACCTTCATGGAAAGAAATTGAAGTACGGAACGCTCAAAAAACCTGTGTATCGGATGAAAAGTCACTCATTTGCACAAAAAGCACCCCTAATTTGAATAGAAGGAAGCTTCAGGTTTAATCTGAAGCAAATGATATAACTTTTTACATCGGCACAAAATTAATTTCACAATTTTTTTTTTTTTTAGATCATGTAAAAGAAAGTCCATGTTCCCAGGTATTTTTAAAGCATAATGTTTAAAAGCAAGAACATGCATTTGTATGACCCTTTCACATGTCCGATCTAGATATTAGTAAAAAAAAAATCAGTCGAATGAAAAAGGGCGTTCAAAATACCTCGGAGTGATTTATTATTTATCTTACTACAGGGAGAGAGTTTGTTAAAATCAAAAAGTACAGGAGTGGATTTCTACAATTAATGAATTCCGAAATGAGGAAGATCATATTAACTTGTCTGGCATGAATAAACAGTATTTTTTGAAGCAATGCAATTTGGACTGAACAAAGTACACTGACACGGATGTTTTTTTATCCACCAGCGATGATACTGACGTTAAACTGACGTTTAATTGACGTTTAAATTTTCACTTTCTTAACTACTAGTATCTATTTTTAATACATCGAGAGTAGTTTTATATTGTAATTCAACCGCCTACGTGTATTTGTTGTAGCACTCGGATTTTGCAAAATTATATATATGATTGTATGAACAATTTCTAATTATGTACGTAATAAGCTTAAATGGATGAATTATTTCTTTTTCAAAAAAGGGGTTTCTTTAAAGTGTGAAAAAATAGTGTATCCTTCATTTTACGTTCTGTTTCCAAATTCCATTGTGTATATATAAATGATTTAACGAATTTCTAGTAAATCATTTCAAATATGACTCGTAAGTAAAGCAGAAAAGAAATCAAAGTTAAGCCAGCCAAATAAAAAATGTATGCTTATTATTTGTCGGTCTCTAGCATGAAAAAGGTTTTTTTAGGTGTCACTTAATCATAAAAATTAGTACACTTCGAATACACGCTAATGTATTCATACTGGTCGCACGCTTGAGAGACGCTCCGCCTTCTCATTCAAATAATACAATGACCTACCTAGCTGTAATGGCGAAACCGGAATTTTACAGTGAAGTATAAGATTTTATTTAATCGATATAATGTATATATTGAAAGTCTCTTTCCCCAAAAAATATTTTATGAGTATCTATACAGACTATGCTTGAAGACTTTAGCTATAATATAACAATGTTCTGATTTGAAAAGGTAAAATTCTGCATTTAAAAAGGGGCGAGAAAGCAGTGTTATGAGGATTCATTCTTTATTTGTAGCAACAAAAGTTTCATTCGATTAAAAACAAACACAATTTTGAGTAAATTGAAATATGTTGTGTGGTATGATATGCATGCTGCAACATTGTTTGACAATGACTGCACAATAATGCGACTTCTCTGCACCGAACAAGTTATAAATACTTAATATTTAATTTGGGCCAAATACACTAAAGCAAACAACGTCACTCCTTATAAATATTGAATTTGTGTTTTACTTTGCGTTGTAAGATCATATTCCCAATTAAAAGGCCGTTTAGAATAGTCAGTCGCCATTGTATCGTCATGCTGACTTCATATTCTTATAATATGAAGATAGAAATCAGATCAGCTCATCTGGATTTTCCCTGTGAAATGAATATTATACTACCAAGAATTCACCTTCAGAAGAACTACACTCAAAAGAAATAAAATGACTATCGAAGACAGACGGACAGACAGAAATTCAAAAAGAGAGTCTCTTTCTCTATCCATCCATGGTTATATCGGTGAAAATCTGGTTCTTTAATATGCATGTGACAGCGACCCAACAATGCAAGTATACCTCCATACACTCCTACGACTGTAAATTAGATCAATTGAGACCGGTGGTGCGCAGGAAGTGTAGGTATAAACTTCTTCAGATCGGAATCGGAAGGATTGTCAATGAAAACAATGTTATTAATAGGCTTATTGTGCAAAAATATTCTTAGACACGATAATGGCCTAAAACAACAAACCCATGAAAACAAATTTCACCATGTGAACATTTATAAATGTCTCATGAGAGTATCTACATGTACATTTCCTTTCTTCGATATCACGTTAATTGATACAACGTTTTTCTTAATGGAATGCATGTATCATACACAAAATTATTTTATACCAGAATTAAACTTTAATATGAAAAATGTTCATATGAGTTACTATGTATTAACATATGATTATCAGAATAAAAAATTCGACATCATCTTGACACAAGTGACTGTTCACACCCTGAATACAGAGAAAAATTGACAACACACTTTGTTAAATTTACAAGATTTTATTGTTTAAATTTTAAAATAACTATATTATATAGAGTATTTCTCTTGTAACCAACCGCAAACATACTGCATATAATCTTTCATTTCATACATTGTATAACCCCCCCCCCCCAAAAAAAAATGTGTTTGTGAAACACTGATGCCCCCGTATGGCAACTTACAGCAAAGGTTAAACTTTCTCAAATGCAAACCAAATATATTGGTACCCAAAGGAAGGCCTTGTCTCGAGGAATATACCTGTGAAATATGAGAGCCCTAGCAGCAACCATTGAATAGATATTTAAAAGGTTAAAGTTAAGGTTAAATGGTCAAAATTAATGGTGCCTAAGGAAAGGCCTTCTCACAAGAAATATACTGGTGAAATATGAAAGCTGAAGCACCAATCGTTCAAAAGTTATGACCAAGGTTTAAGTTTTTCAAAAGTAGGTTAAACTCCAAGGTCAAGGTCAATGGATAACAATTGTTGGTATCCAAAGGAAGGTCTTGCCACAAGGATTACATATGTGAAGTATGAAAGCCCTAGCACCAACGGTTCACAAGTTATGGCCAAGGTTAAAGTTTCTTAAAAGTAGGTCAAACTCCAAGGTCAAGGTCAAAGGGTCAAAGTTGTTGGTATCCAAAGGAAGGTCTTGTCACAAGGATTACATATGTAAAGTATGAAAGCCCTAGCACCAACGGTTCAATAGTTATGTCCAAGGTTAAAGATTTTCAAAAGTAGGTTAATATTCTAGGTTAAGGGCAATGGGTCAAAGTTGTTGGTATCCAAAGGAAGGTCTTGTCACAAGGATTACACATGTGAAGTATAAAAGCCCTAGCACCAATTGTTCAAAAGTTATGGCCAAGGTTAAAGTGTGGTAAAAGTTTGCAAAACTGGGTCAAACTCCAAGGTCAAGGTCAAATATAGTGGTACCCAAAGAAAGGTCTTGTCACAAGGAATACACATGTGAAATATGAAAGCCATAGCTCCAACCAATCAAAAGTAATGGGCAATGTTAAAGTTTTTGCGGACAAACAGACAGACGGACGGACAGGACAAAAACTATGTACCTCCGAATCTTCGATACTGGGGCATAAAAAAGGAAAATATGAAAACAAATTCCTTAAACTGGAATGTGCACCTTAACAGTAATGTAATCTCATAGTAAAAGAAGTGAAACAGAGCAATGTAATAACTTCCCGTAAGTTTTCCTTTCAATTTCAAAATCAACATATTAACAGTAAATTCTTATTCACAGTAAATTCAGTCTTTTTTCGTAAATTTAAATAAAACATAGAAAGGTTTCTTCATATTGCATGAGGCAATCGTACCTGGCATCCTTTTGTTGAGACCACGCTAGCCAAATGATACTTATACAAATAATTCAACGTCTCTCTACTTTTAAGGCCTCAAAAGTTTATTTCCCATAAATGGAATACTCAGATCGTTTTTAGATATCTCAAATCTGGACTGAAGTTAAAGACATATCGGTTGAGGAACTATTACAGTTATACACATAGTGTAATTAAAATTAAACTCAAAATCGTCAGTTATGCTAAACCGCAATCCACAACTAAAATATTAATATCAAACACCTGTATTGCCTATTTTTTATAACATGCCCATCACTTTTCATCTACTTTGTAATTGAAGCATTTTTATTTTCAAGCATTAAACTCGCATCACATAGTTCATTCAACCATACATAATGTTCTATTGCACTTCATGACTTTACGGTCATGACCCTGTTGCACTAGCACCTGATTGGTCCGTTGAAACATTGTTCGACTGTGTTTTACTCAGACGCACTATTTCTTGTGACATCATCTCCAAATTCTACAAAAAGAAAATGTAGCAGTGTATTTTAACTGAATATTATATACATATATCATATAATATTAGTTTGTTTGTTTGTATGTTGTTTAACATCCCTCTCAAGAATTTTTCACTCACACGGAGACGCCACCACTTGCCGGTGGAGAGCTGCAAATTTTGTCCTATGTTCGGAACTGAGCAGTGAGGGGTCTTTTTCGTGCCAACACCTACTGCGACACGGGACCTCGGTTTATACGGTCTCATCCGAAGGACCGGTCTCCACGTCCCACTGTGAGATTCGAACCCGCGACGTAAGGATCAACTCCTTACCTCGCGACTCTAGAGCAAACGCTCTAACCACTGCGCCACGCGGGCGACTCACATAATATTTGAATAAATATTATTGATATAAATGAAATTAAATAAGATTTTATGATTTAATACAAATACCAGATCCATCCCTTTATTTACTTGTTGAGCGATAGAGTTCAAATGTTATGACATTAGGGTTATGTAATTTTATTGGTTGAAAGTTTTGGTGGTTCTTAGTTGTTCTCAGATATACTACTCCGAGAATTTGGCCAGGTTGGCTTTGTTTGAAATTTAGAGAAATTTATATGACAAAGTCTTTGAAACCTTTAGACCAGACCTGACAGTAAGTATCTACTTTAATATTCTATATCTTTATAATATTTCTATTTAGCTAACATCACTGTTTGCAAGAAGAGTGAAAGTTTAAATATGAATAAAACTAAATTTAAAGCATTTTACCTCAGAGTAGAAATTAATTTGAATTGTGAGTATTATTATAGTATGTATAGTACAGTGTAAAGTATTTGTTATTAGATATGTAGACCTGTATGAAACATCCAGGCTATTTACTAAGTTTCATGGAATGGGTCTTGTCCCATAGAGAGGTAATTTGAATATGATACCTTTTATGTATTTAAAGTTATAATTACATATTGTTATATATTTTGTTACATTAATTGAAATGACTGTAATATACTTGTGTAAAGATTAATTGGACAGTGTTTTATGTATATGCTAAATATTTGAATTCGGGAGATAATACATGTGTATTTATTATATACATTTGTTCTTATTTCATGTGATATTTATATAATAGTGTTGTGTTTTTTTATGCACTATGCCTAAATAGTAGTCAGGGTTTGACACATGGTGCACGAGCCGGAGGAATTGGTGGAATTAAATTTTCGTAATTTCCTGTGGACCCATTACTCACGAATGTGCAACTTGTACAAATATTGAAATATAGGTGATGGTTTATGTAACAATATATTCGACCACAAAAGTATGTCCGCTCAAAGCTGAGATTTTTTACCAATCCAGAAAAATTGCCTCCCACGAATGAATCCACATATACTACAGTGGATTCTAATATATATGTCATTTCAATTTTCCAAACCATAAAATGTATATAGATATGGACTGGACTATGGGCGCGAGCTCAAACTTTACATATGACAGCACTCAGACCACATACTGAGCAAAAGTCGTGCAATAATTGTTCATTTACTAAGGTCACAACACTTTTTTCGTAGGGAACAATTTTCATAGATTTTTAAATTAAAAATAATTCTTGAGACAAGATTTTTGTAGAAAAAAAAAAGATATTCAAAATAAATGTAAGTTACTATTCCTTTCTTCATTCCCTGATGTTGTGAATCGAGAAATATAGGTACAAACGATCTATCTAAAATATACAAAATTATGGTTTAAAAATAAAGGTCACGATAAAAATAGAATTCCAACTTTAATCCTTTACAGAATACTAATACACAACAAAAATTGAAATACAGTGATACATTTATTTGACTGAATCAATTTCGACCTGTTGATCAATTTTGTAATGTTTTTTTTTTTTTTAATTTTCTTTTTTCAGACTGTTTAATGAAATTCAAGCACACAAAAGTATCAGTAAATGAATTGCTTTCTTGATAAGACATTGAAAAATTAGAGCAATTAGGCTTCAACATCAATACGATCCATCTACATATATCCCCATGTTTTTATTATGATTGAAATGTTTCTATAAAAACCGAAATAGGTACAGAATGAAAACGAGTCGCCCAAGTGCGCAGTAGTTTGAGCGTTTGCTCTGGAGTCGCGGAGTTGATCCTTACGTTGCGGTAGGTGCTGGCATGAAAAAGACCCCTCACTGCTCAAAGACCGCAAGTGCCGAGTAAACGTCCAAATTTGCGGCCCTCCGCCGACAAGTGGTGGCGTCTAAATATGAGTGAAAAATTCTCGAAGGGACTTTAAACAAACAAAACTACATGAACAGTTTATTTAGAAAAAATACACACACAGAGATGCACTGAAAATATTTTTACTACACTATTCGATACTGTATGAACAGCACCGCATTTGATTTGTTTTCTGAATTCTCTTTGAAATACTTTTTACTTAATGAAAACATTTTTCGAAAGTAAAAAATATAAACTGAACAATAGGTGAAAGACAACTGGTGAATTACAGCTCAAACTAATATTGAGAGAGAGCAGCTTTCAATCGACTTGCTGCAACTCAATGTAGAGTAGATAAATAAATTACTGCTCTTGCCTCGTGCATAATTTATATTCCACACTCAAAGAGAACACCGAAACAAGACATTTTCACACCAAATATAGGTCTGCACGAAAATGGGGAGGATAAATGACCCCGATTCTAAAATTGTCCATAAAACACCCATAAAGTCAATCTACAGGTTCTAAAAGGGTTTTACTGCTCCGTCCAATAATGCAGACAGAGAAGAGGAGCCTGCAAGAAAATCAGTTAATTGGAGTTCTCGCCTCTTCCAGTATACGGAGGTGTTGCTTCAAAATGCAAGTGGACATTCGTAACTTGATAGAGGAAATTGATTTAGTTTCGCCGAGACTGACGGCGACTGACAAATTGTGTCCGAGTAAAACCATCCGCCGCGTTAACTGTTGTATATCACATTCCGTGGTGTTTCGTAAAGGTCAAACAAAAACTACGAGTCAAGCTTTCGACAGCACATACAACAATGCCAATATATTATTTTAATAGATCCTTATAGAACTCGAAACATGAATACATGAACAGAATATTTACAGTCCCTGAAACGTTCTACTTTCCCACTTGAACGGTGAACGAACGCTGAACGAACGCAGAGTGAACGGTGAGTGAACGATGTGTGAACGCTGAACGCAACTTGGTGAACGATGTGTGAACGGTGAGCGAACGCAGAACGCGAACGGAGTGCAAACGCGAGCGCAAAGTGAACGGTGAACGAACGGTGAACGCAAGATGAACGATTTATTCGGAATGCCTCTGATCTTTTCCTTGCATTGAAAGTATTCTATTGTATTCGAATGCCTGGTGCTAAAAAATAAATAGAAAATAAATAAACAAATCAATGAAAATTGTCCTAAGAAAGGCGATACATGCACATTAAGTAAAATTATTAATTTAAGTTTCTTACAACATTTTCTGCACATATTTACGATGTTTAAATTCAACTTTTTGATAACACGATTTTTATCGCTGTAAAACATTGTAATTGTTACCGAACGCTGTAGTATAACAAATGAAATTAATCTAGTTGTAAAATAAATATTTTTATTCATATTTGATATCTAAAACCATTACAATTAATGTGAAAACTACGGACTTATAGAATGAATTACAACGGTTGTAACAACCGTACAAGGCGATTCCGTGTAAAATAATGAGAAAAAATATTTTACAAAGGTATGTGGACGTATTGCATAAATACACTCGTAGTTTAAAATTTTAATGCAATAATATATTTATATGTCAGTTTTATTTTTTATGATGATTTATTGAGCAGACTTCGACATTTATCTGTAGACATTTCCCGGCCGTGATTATACTCGAACAAGATGATACAAAGAGGCAATCATATTATTTGTTACATATCAAATTTTCACAACTTGATATTTAAGTAATATGCTGTCATAGTTTTTATTAAACAGACAAATGAGAGAGAGAGAGAGAGAGAGAGAGAGATTCGGTTTTAGCCCCCATTCCTCAAATATTTGTACATATATCAAACAAAAATGCTAAATTTTTTCTAAATATATCAGGTAGTGAAAGTAACCATTTTCTTTTTATCAACAAATCCATTTGTTCTACAGTCATAATCGGTTTTTATTTTCCTGCTTCAACACGAAGTCCACGTGCTTGACCTGTCAATCAAAATCATTTGACACTCTGCAGGTGTGAAAATCTCGTCCCCGAAGGCACAGTGTTAGTATTTCCAAGAAGTTTTAACATTTTTCTTATCATTTCTAGATCTGATTCGAACATTTCTAAAATAAATAAACAAATAAATGAATAAAATACATTGGGAATAAATACTTGGAATAATTAAGCCGCTTGAATTTGAAACATACTCCCTGCCAATTTAAAATATCACCGCCGGCACATGTATATTTTGAACTACTATTGTTTAATGACTTTGTTTAGATGCATGTTTGTTTTGAGACTGAAATTTTTGTGCTACAAAACACATTAACTTCTTTTTAAAGGTTAATCAAAATGTACTGGATATACTAACTAAGTAACCGATTTAGGGGGAAAAGGGGGGGGGGAGCTCTTAATAATATCGAATGACAAACATATAAAGTTACGGTGAAAAATATCATTACTGGAGAATCACCTTGGTTATATAAATGATTATCATGTTATAAAGGCATTTCTCTCTCTCTCTCTCATTAAAGACTTTATATATGTAAATAGAAAAAATTCTTTTATGTACTACTTTAAAAAAAAATTAAACCACACTATCAATTTAATTCGCTCTAAAGATATTAAATTAATTGGATATCCGCAGTACTGTTTATCATTCTCAGAACAAGTTCTAACATGTATTTTTGTATTATTTGAAAAAAAAAATGTGATAGAAATAAATATTTTTGTATTTTTGCTGCAGTTGGTAAATTACTTGACTTCGATTATTATCTATCCATTAACGATTTGTCGTCTATAATATAACAGCAAAATGTTGGAGT